AGATTAGAAATTGGATCCGGCTCTGTAAGGCACGAACCTTACAGACAGCCGGTACCACACGTGTACGGGGGCACGCGCCCCCACGTGTACTATACGTGTACGACACGTATACAGTCAGCCCCGTCGGCTGACAGTGCCGACTACAGTAGTGCCCCATAGTACAGTACGTACTGTACTAAGTTACGATAGACTAATTGTACATTAAATGACGGAGCGGACCGGCGGCGGCGAGGGGGACAAGCACGGACTTGTCCACGACCTACCGCCTAGGTCTGACTTCCAGCTTATCTTAAGGAAGCTTCCGTTAGCTACCTTAAGGCGAGACCGAGCGCGGGTAGAGGACGCGCGAGCACGCGAGCGAGCCTAGATCCACCTCCGCCCGTCAGCGCTGGAACGTAACCCAGCGCTGCTCCGGGGCGTCGAGGCGTAGATCGGCCCGCGCGTGTGCGCGTCCTCCCCCCGATCCCGGTCTACCACGCTACCCGGGCCCGTGCTCCGGTTTCGTTAGCTGGTCCGACTTCCCCCGTCTTCTCGTACGTACGGGTCTTCCAGGACTAAGCATACACCCCTATCCGTTTAGGGGTGTTTATGCTACACCGGCGTGTCCGAAAATGTTCTGGTGGCCACGCCACGTATTGCACAGTTCGAATGATATCAGTTCGCTTGAACCTGAACAGGGCCAGCAACACATCGTCAGAGAAGTTGTCAAATCGATGATCAACAAAGGAGGTCTAGCTGATCTCGCGTGAACGTCACAATTTCTTCTCGCGATCATTGCAGCTGCTGTGTAGTGTGAGCAGTAAACCGGCTAACATGAAGTTTGATGACAGGGCGGAGCTTGGGTCTGAGTTCTTTTTCTTGAAGATCGAGGGTAGGAGGGAAGTTCACCCGGCGATGCGCGAGCAAACGGCCTTGGGGTTGTGGTCCTTTTGTCGTCCGAGGGACATGGCCGTTTGAGGAGCTGTGGGTCGGGCTGCAAAATTGGGCTACGTGATAATACTCATGTGATGGTGCTTGATGCTTGGCGTAAACACTTCTCAGTATATCTTCAATTTGTGAAATTCAGAACTGCCAATGTTACTTATCATACCTCTATTTGTCACAATCATTTGTGAAATTCTGGCTGCGTAAACCTTAAAATGTGCGGCACTGCGTTTGCATTTTTTAAATTATGAAGTTCAGAATCTGAACCATGCGACTGCACTGTACTGTAAATACTCCAATCTGTAAAATACACACGTGGGACAGTTAGACAGATCGTATCTCTGGCAATGTATCCAGGTGTGTAAGTCTCGCAGACTTTCAGTCGCATGTTCAAAGGACGTGAAGAGCATGAAATCGCGGGAAAGCGAAGCTGAATTCAAATGCAAATCTCATTCGGTATTCAGATTCTGTAGTGTTTTCGAGGTGCAAGCGGGAGGAGCTTCGATCTCATGATAGAACTACGCGATGTGTGAAGGGGTGCGAGGAGTGGCCGAAGGGCCGGGGTCGAGGGGAATAAATAGAGGCGGAGCGGGCGGCCCTGGGCGAAAGGGGGACTCTCAAGCTTCGGGGTATCTCTTTGGTGCCGTCTTCATGTGCCCTCGTCGAGCGCGCGTCCCGCCCCTGTTCCCTCTAGCACCGAACGAAACAAGGACCATTCTGCCTGCACGTCCCGTCCACTGACTGCTACACCAAACATCGCAATTAGTCTGGGTGGAAAATTAGTGTGGATACACATATTAGCGTAGACCATACTAACTTCTGTGATCTGTCCTTGCTCGTAAACAAAGTTACTGTAGACTATACTATTTGATATTACACACATATTGGTCTGGATGCGCCAAAAAGACAGGAAAAGCATAGAGCAAACAGACTCTCGCGCACCGGAATGCGCGCCCGACGGTAGATACTGCAATTACTAGGCCGGAAGCGCAATGCCCGGCAAATTGTAACACCACCACCCCGCCTCTAAAGCCACCCAGTACGTGTTTCCCGTCCAGTTCGGCTGCCTAAAACCTCTATAAAGGAGCTTTAACACCAAGATATGGAATTCCTCCGCATGCATTCACCAAATCTCTCATTGAGGCGCACCGAAATGTATTTGGCCTCCCCCATCGTGCACTCCCTGCAGCGAGCAGTGGCAACTGCCTCATTGAACACCTCCCATCTGCCCCCCTCCGCAACAGAACCGCACCACAGCAGTACAACGGTGCATCCTTCCACCACACCTCCCTTGGACACGCCATTGTACCATAATTGCCGACTACTTTATATTAGATTTAGAATTAGATCTAACGCTGTAAGGTACGGACCTTACAGCGTGCGCACGCGTACTTTACAGCACGCGCGCACCAACACGTGTATCCTACATGTAGCACACGTGTGCTGTCAGCCCCGACGGCTGACAGCGTTACAGTGCAGGCCGGCCCGCACTGTCTACAGTAAGCCGACTACAGTACAGTCCGTACTGTACTGTAGACGGTTAATTAACTTGTACAATAAATATAGGGAGCGACCGCCGGCGGAGGGGACGAAGGAAGGCAACCCTCCACCGACGGTCGGCCACCCAGCTTACTCTACTCACACCGCCGTTCCGCGAGTAGTTACCACCGAGCGGGTAGTGGACGCGCGCGACACCGCGGGCTGCAATCTGCCTCCGCACGTCAGTACCAGATCTTCAACCGGTACTGCTCTGGGGCGTCGAGGCGTCCATCCACTCCCCTACGCGCGCGTCCCGGCCGACCACGCTCTACCACCTGCTACCGGCCCGCTTCCGGTGGCGTTGGTTGGTTCAAGACCCTCGGTACACCGATCCGGGGTCTTCCGCCGAACATAGCGAACACCCCTCCGCCGTGTGTGGGGTGTTTATGCGACAGCCATCAGATTCACTTTCCCTACCCCCCTCAGCTCAACAAACCGCAGAAGCGGGCACTTCAGAATGTGTTTACTCATGCACAGCGTGTCAAGATCGCAACGTGGATGGTGGAAGCGTCTCGTACAGACGGTGACAAACACATGGCATCCCGAGCTGTTCGCAATTTCCCAGCACTTTTTCGGGAATCAGAGAAAGCGAACAAAGGAAAAGCGAGTAGGCTGTGGAAACCCCGGGAAGCCCTGATGACGTACCAAAGATGGACAAACAACCGCAGAATACCCTTTTCGATTACGCGCATCACGCGCGCGGGCATGAAACGTGTCTACATCAAGGACTGTGCCGGTCGAGGAAGGAAACGAGCGGGTTGGGTAATTGGAATGCATACAGACTTACTCGAGGAGTTTGAGCGTCTGAGGAAGTCCGGCCTGAAGTTCAACGCAAAACTTCTACTTCATTTGGCAATTCACCTGGTCCGTGAATCTCGTAATGCAGTTGTGAGATATTTTTAGGGAAAAATTGCATTTTACTGTAGAGGGAGATTTTATTCTGTAGTCCGAGATTTTATTTGTGCGTGGCTGGAGGTTGCTGGAGATGGCCAACTTCATGATCAGCAGGCTCGGTGTGAAGGAGGCCGTGAGGTTGGATAGTGGTGGCAGTGCACAATTGGCTGTTGAAAGCTTCAACTTGGCACAACAACGAAATGGGTGGCAACTTAACAGGCGCCGAAGGGGGTTTCCGTGCATGTGTGAGCCACGTCCGGTGCGGAACTTGTTGACTCTACGTGTGCGTTAACCCGAAGTTTGGGTGCCCCTAGAAGCGGTCTCTAGAAGTGCTGGGAAGCTGCTGCTGCGTAGGACTATCCTCTTTACGGTTTGTCCATGAGCAGGTTTGTTTTCGCAAAGAACTACTTGTCCTTCCGGGCAGTTGGATTCGTCCGGTTCCGATCTGAAGCCCACTGCCAAGTTATGCTCCAGCGCCGATACAAAATAGATTTTCTCGACTGTGGCTGCCCGTTCCTGGTGATACATGCTCATCGTTGCCAGGGAAAAAAGCTAATAGATTGTAGAGCCCACGCACCGCAGTGTGCGTACGTCTCGTTGTCAGAAGACGGACAAACGTTTCATAAAGCCGGATGATGCATGCAAAACAACAACTCAGTTCTTGTTTTGCATGCATCACCCGGCTATGAAGACATTAATGGCTCCTCTACTGGCGTCCTGACTATGATTCTCCCGCTAAAACTTTTGCAGCTTCTTTTGTACTCATTGTAAAGCGTATATTGCTGATGCCATGCGCAAAGCGGCTTGTCCCAGACTGCACCGTCGTACCCGTCAACTCAGCCCAAAAATAAGTGGTTGCCATTTCCTTCTTCGGTCACAGCAGCAAGGAACGAACACTGTCCTCTAGCCAGTGAAGGGCGTCTTCCCGGGGAGCACCGTCTTCCGCTTCCCTAACCATGTCCAAGTATCTGTATGCTTTTACGAGCGGCGCAACATGAAGAATACTTTCGTAATCAACCAAAACAATCCGTCAACGTCAGCTATGTCCATTTCCTGTGCATAGACCTCTAGGATATCCCGGTTGCCCCAGTCAACATCAAGCAAAGGATGGCCTGCGAAAGAGCTGTCAAAGTCGAAAAACCAGACCCCTGGACCCTCATCGGCGCCCTTCCTGTTTAAGTTCCCATCAGTCGTGTCATTGTGTATCAAACAGGTAGGCATTTCCAAATCAATAAGATGACTGGTGCTCATACGCAGCTAACAGAGCCTTCCGGCCTCTTGAGACGTCAGGAAAACGGAGCATACGAACAGGGGGATATGTATCTGAAACTACGGAGGACTGCCGCAAGGAACTGGCAATATTTGTGAGGCCCCTAATGTCCTCCCGTTTGAACAATGCAATGTCGTTTTTCGATACATCAACTTCCAAAGCGTACAAGACACAGCGAAGCAGCCAAATATCCAATGAGCTTTCTATACTTGCAAATGATACATTTGGAATATATTCTCTCTGTCCATCCGTTATGCTGTACCCGCAACCAGTGCACGCGTATTTCCGCATGACTTGGTCTGCGTTCAGCGTGTTGTCGCTTTGCAATAAAATGTTTTCATCCAGGCGAAGGTACTTTGCAATTTTGTCAATAGTGCCACTGTCCACGACAGGAAGCTTTCGAAGTCGTCTGCATTCCCCTGAACAACCAGTACCCCTGAAGATACAAAGCCCCCGTTGGGATCCCAGACTGGACTTGTCCAATTCTTTAACTTTGTGCTGGGAATATCTACTGTAGTTCAGGTGAAGATAGCACAGACGGTGCCCTGAGGGATCGTTAAGTAAAGTTCCAATAGTTACAGCACTGCAGTCGGATAGGCGTTTAAACTCATCCGTGAATATTTCGCGCGTTTCTTTCGAAGCTCCGCAGACATTGAACAGTGTCCAATCCACTGTCGGACTGCGCTTTGGTCTACGATCCTCGGTGGAGTTCTGAATCTCCGTCTCCGCTCCTTTTTCCATTGTCGAACAAATAAAACAGATGTGATTGATGGAGCTCTTGACTTCTGTCTTCAATCTCGATGACCATCGTTTGAGGGCCCTAGCCGCTGCTGAGGGACCATACTTTCTGGGGTTCGAAATGACTTTCCAGCCAATTGTGTTGTCTCTGCAATATGTGCACAGGTCAATTACATTTTGTCGAGACTTGTCAAGTCTGGCAAAGGGGTTCAAACGGTCCCCCGTGTCAACATTGGCCCGCATTAGTAACTGCGATATGGATAATCGGACTGAAAGGCTTGGAGTCTTCAAGTTACATGTCTCACACGCGAAACACGGTGGACTGGTCCTTGTGGCCCCACCGGTCGGGTCTGCTTCAACCTTGCGCTCTGTCTCCATTAGGAGACGAAAACCCTTGCTGCACGGTTATCACGTTCGTTGATTGGCAGTCATTGACTCGATCCTGGTGTGCGGCACGCCGCAGGGCTGGGAGAGGTAAATGGGACGTAGCCGTCCTATAAGCCCGAGGTGCCAGGAAAAAGTGGACCTTGGCGTGGAAAGTGGCCACTTTGGCGAGGTCGACGGCAATGTTAAATTTTATCATAAATGTCAAAATGCAGCATATTTTGCGAGTCGTCACCGACTGTAGAGTACGATAGTCTAAAGAAAAGAGTCCGGGCAGTGGGTAGAGCAGACCGAAACGCGCCAGCCAAGTGCTGAATACATCGCAACGACCACGGACACGACCAGCCTTACTGTAGACAGAAGGGAGTCAGCCATACCAACTGTGAGATAGTTTTAGGGAAATATTTGCATTTTACTGTGGAGGGAGATTTTATTCTGTAGTCCGAGATTTTATTTGAATTTTAGAGAAGCGCACGCGGACGGCCCGGCGGAATCCGGGCCGGATGCGTGGACGCTTCTGGAAGGAATTTCGTAGAAATAAAAGAGAGAGGGTGACGGGCGCTGCGGGGAAGGGGGGACGAGACTCGGCCGACCCTCACCACGAACGACACGCTCCCCAGAACCGCCACCCCCATTTCACCGACAACACCAACATACGATTTCCGTTGGTATGACAAGCAACGATTTTTACAACAATAGCATTACGGGATCTTCTATACGTGTACAGTACCCTTCCCAAGGGCACGGTACCCTCGAAGGGTACGGTACCCTCGAAGGGTACGGTACACGCAAACAACTTGTGACAACGGTACAGCAGAGTGGTACAGTGTACAGCACAGCAGAGTACATGACTGTTGACAATCATGTACTCTGCTGTGCTGTAATACGTACATACTGTATGAGTCAACATTGACTCATACAGTACCCGTATGTACGTATTACGAGAGGCGGCTTTTTCCATTTGTGAAGGTGAGGAACAGAATCACAACTCCCTGTAGCGGTCCAGACTGTGGGAACGAAGACTCCTTTTACTTCCTGTGTTGGGTTCCACTACATGCTACTTATACTGATTCCATTGGATGTACACGTGTGCGGTCTGTCACAGACTTGAGAGCTGCCAAATGTCAAAGTACCTCCACTTTTTTGGACTCATTAATCCCCCGTTTAGAGTGCCCTGTGGAACCACCGGACCACCTTCGCAGGCCGTACGCGTTTTGAACGCAACCTCAGAAATGAGCTAACCCGTAGAAACCGATGACATCCGCCCGACTTGCCTCTTCCCCCCACCATGTCCATTTCATCCATCCGCATGCCGCCATTTTTTGCATCTCCTCGACGAACACCACGCTCCCTCGACATCCGACTCCATCGCAGACCCGCACATCCCAGCACCCGCGGCCTCAACCTCCGGCCCCGGCGCTGCGACCGCGAACATGTCGCGCACGCCGTCGCAGCCCTCGAAATGCTACAGCGTTGTCGCCGCCCCCACGTTTGCGGCGATGCTGTTCAGCGTCATATCACCCGGGGCCCACGACGTGCCGGTTAGGTTCCGGCCGCAGGGTAATCGTCGGTTATGTCGTCGCGAGACATGTTGCCAAGCGCAAACGTAGGGTGCGCGCGGAGTTGCAGGAGCAACAACACGTCCACGGGCGTGGTGGTGTCCCAATCCCGGTCCGTACCGAAACTGATACACCCAGCCATACTCCTGGCCGCCCCGAACCCTGACCTCCAGGCGGGAGCGTAATCGAAGCAGATGCCTTTAGCCCTGCTCATGCACGCCCCCGCTCGAAGTAGCTGGTAGACGTGTTCACATTCCATGCCTTCGACAGCATGTCCGCTCCGTCAATCAGGTGCGAGCTTGACCCTCGATTCAGCTGCGATTTCTCGCGGCAGCGCAACATCTCTCGACTACCCTTGGGCCGTTCAGGCCGGAGGCAAGCAAACGCAAGATTTTGACAACTCGCTAGTCGAAGTATGTTTGTACGTAGCAATGGAGGATGGGAATGTCAATGAGAGTGAAATCGCCGAGTGGCAAGATGCGTGCAGGGGCGTTATGAGTGCGGAACTCCCGCGGACGCGGGTGGAAAAGAACTGGAAAGCATTTCCAAATACATGAAGAAGAGGGCGCTGGACGATATGCTGGGAAAAGTGAGAGAGCAGGAAAGGCACTTGGGAGACATTGAGAAGCAGTTGCTCATTGGGGCGGCGGTAAAGGTGACAACGGCGGATGGGGGAGGTTGCGAAGCTGGAGAGGATGATTCTGGAAAAGCTGGCAGAGGCGCTGAAGGTCGATGAGATGGGTTGTGGAGCTCCATTTGAAAGACTGGGAGAAGATGCTAGGCAAGCAGACGTCGGAATATTGGCACAAAGCAGGGCAGGTTGAGTCGACAGGATGTTTTTATTTTCTTGCGTGAATGGTTTTGTTTTTGCTCAATGTTTTGTTTACGACTGGCAGAGTCACAACTTGAGAACGCATTTAAGAGATGGAACCAGTTTGTATGTGAGACTGCCCTGAGAGTGTCAACGGATGTTATAGGGTGAGTGCCCATTCACTAGTGGATTTTAGAGAGATCTCTTGCAACGGTTTTGCGACTTTATCAGCGTTGTCGGCACATGCCAACATCATTGTGGAAGTAATCGCTTTAGTTCGTGGAAGATATGAAGCGAATTGATACTGCAACCGCTTCACAGTTTGGCCATGTGGTTCCATGCAGAGCTATGAAAGCACAGTAGATGAGGCACTGCTGTTAGGGCACATCAGACACGCACACATGAAAGCCACAGTCGGCCCCCTCTCCACAGGAGGAGGGAGGCATCGGTGTTCTTTGCATCACAGTTCATAGCCGAGGACAGGCGGATGAATTACCAATTTAAAGTTTACTTGCCAAAACCCATAAATGCAGGTATGTCATACAAATATTCTGCAAACGGTTTCCAAGTCAATGAACCAGGTTTATACGGCCGCAGAATTTGGCATCCTACGGTATTGTACACGGGATAGTTTTAGGTGTGTTGGGCCTACTGTATTTGCGAACAATTTTGTCGACAATGCTCTTCTAACAGTGACAAAGGTCCACTATTCGGTGAGGGTATTTGTAAAAGATCTACTAACTTCGCTGTATGTCTGTAACTGAGACAAAGGTCTAGTAGGCCTTTGTCTCAGTTACAGACAAAGGTCTAGTGGTCTAGTACACCCATTAGATATGTGCAACTGGCAGCTTCTCAGACCTGAGAGATCACGTCAGGACCAAGAGAGTCCGGGGATGGATGAAAGCAGTGTTGGCTGTGCGTGCACCTCCTAGAGTAATGGCACGAAACATAAGCCTTTATATGCCACACCAGAAGTATTGTACAGTACTTGTACAGTTAAGCAGACACTAAAGAGATCTGTAGATTGACGCTGAACGCATTTCATCTCACGAGAACAAAGGTACTGTACTTCGGGTTAGTTGTACTGCATGACTGCAGGATGCAGTCGGACTCAGCGACGTCCTATCTTTCGCTTCACAGCAAAGGAATTGCTACGGCATTGCTTACGGTAAACTCTTACGTCGCTTGAGCAATGTATTTGTTGAGACTTAGCGAGAACCATCCACAATGACGCACTCTTCTTCACGTTTGAATTTCAGAATTCTGTGACTGCTTCTTTCCTAAACCCTGTAAAAATCGTGCTGGGTAATCGTGCTGGGTAAGCTCTCTACTTTTTTTGTCCATACATTCGCTTCGCGGGAGCCATGTGTTATGGAGAGAGTATCTTTCTTTTCTTATCATGAAAGCAACCTCAAATAAGGACACGTGCCATCTAGACTCTGCGTAGCCTGGCGGACATGTTAAAGCTTTATGTGCCTGGCGTGATGACGCGCTTCACCAGAGTGACGATGCGCCAGGTTGGCATGTGGTGTTACAGTACGTCTATACCACACCACGCCATTCCCAGAGCAGAGACAACAATAGGATGGGGTCGCAGGAGCGAGCATGGCGGGAAGAGGGATAAGGGACATCGATGGGAACGGAGGAGGCTCCATCGTGATTTCCTCCATCTCACGTCGCAAAAATGCAGCTCACCGCCTTCAGTTGACTACAGTTACTGTACAAGTACGAAGGTACAGTATTCGTGCCACACCGTATCCATTTTGCAATTGCACCTACGTACAGTATCAAGAAAGTACGCAATGCATCCATCAGTCGTCTTCTGTAAAGTTTACTCTCTGCCCTGCCTTTTTCTGTAGCCCTTGAATTGCTTACAAAATTTGTGCATAATAGGGAGCTTACGCATTCAGAATTAAATGGCTTCTTACCAACTGAAGACCATTACATGATTATCCTGCATGGTTTCCAAATCTTAGATGCCTAATCTCTGGGCGCACTGCCAGCAGGAGACCAAGTGAGGCTGAAGGAGGCGACACACAGTGCGTACATAGCCAAGTATTGTACTCGTACTCGGGGCATATCTTCGCTGGGACATACCCCCGACCATTAGGGAATTAGAGGATTGTTGACAATCCTGACATCAGGCCTGGCACTCGCCACTTGAACACATGTGAAGTCCTCGTGGGGCAGAGAATCAACGAGGTACAGCACGTCTAGGCCGTAAGGGCCAGCATGTGTTAATGGGCTGGCGGCGCGAAGACTTCGCAGAAACAAAAAGTAACGCACAGCACTGCTAGCAGTACATAAGAGCCGCGCCTTGCTCCGCTTTCACTCCCTCTTCACTTGGTGTGAGCAAGACGCCACATTCTTCAGTTGCCATCCGATCTACATCGACACCTCCCTCAAAGATCATTCACACCACCACTGCACATCTCAATCCAGACATGGCCCTCTCTACCAGAATGACCAGTACGACATTATACGTCCTGCTTTTCTTGCTTCCTCTGTGGCATGGCGCCAATGCCCGAGACCTCTGCCCTCCAGGAACTGTAAGCTCGACTGGGGCAGAGCCTTGCAGGGACTGCCCCGCCGGCAGCTTGTAAACCCTCGTAGACTCCTTCGTGTTGAACAGGTTCAATGATGGTTTTTTTTCTTACTAGCAATGAAGTGTGACATTACTTATAGGGGATGTAGGGCGGTAGGTAAATTTGGACTTGTAAAGAATAACAGGAACTAGTAAGGGAGGTTGACAATGACTGAAGTCGACGGAGCTTGACTCAGAAGGATGCAGCAGGAATCACCAATCAATATATCATATTGATAGCACTACTCCAACAATCGACCAGCACAGAAGACGAGTTGTGACGCTAGTCGCCACGTACGTCTATAGGGCCCCATGCATCCGTGTGCGATGTCGATAAACGGGTGCATTAGTTCTCTGTGATGCCCAACGCTGCTTTAGCCTTCGCGACAAGCTTCGTCTTCCTTGACATGTTAAAGAACTCCAGTAGGCGCTCAGGTACATCCTCATAGAGCTCTGCGAGTGGTTGCCACGTCCAATCGCACTTGTCCGGTTGTCCAAGCCACTGCACTTGAACAAGGATCCCTTGATCTCCTTCCCCTATGTTCAATAGTTGATCAACCATATCGAATTTCGTTTCAGTGTGCTTAGCATGCTTGAGAAGGTCCTCTGACACCTCTTGACCGTCATGTCTGGTGCGATATAGCAACAACCTCGAAGCGTGAACACATTCAGTCTTGCTACCTGCGAGACCAGTTACTTCGTATACAACTTCGCTCGGCACTCTCGTGACACGTCGCCGCCCCACCCAGCGGAAAGACATCTTGTGGCCCTTCATCTGTGCACGACGAACGACAACGAAGTCCCCAACTTGGAACCGAGTTGATATCAGATTTGTTTTCTTGTTATGTTGTGTTATCTGCTTCTTCCGGTTGGCATTTACTCTCTCACTCACGTTTTTGTGCATCGAGTCAAAAACCTTCTGCAGGTCCTCAATGTTCAGCAGCTGCAAAGCACGAGCCTGCTCTATGTTGGCCTTCTTGGATGAGCTGCTTCCAACGCCGCCGATTTCTAACTGAGTCCTCAACGGCTTTAGACCAGTCATCACTTCTATTGGGGTACGATAGGTTCCATCTTCTTGGGTACCCAGTCGCTTGAGAGGTGCTTCATTTAGAGCTGTCATAATAGCACTGGCTACTAGTGGCCAGTCTTGGGGACCCAACTTGAGCTCAGACTGAATGGCACGACAGGCTCCCATGATATGCTTCATGCAGTTCTCAACAGTGCCGTTAACCCATGGTGAATAGGCAACAGTGAATTTGTGTTGAATACGATGTTCTCCTGCCAGATGCATCATGACTTGATTCTTGAAATGGGCTGCTTGATCAGAAACCCAGTACTGCATGACAGTGAATACCCGTATCCATCTCGCAAGCTCAGTCGCGGCGTTCTCCGCATTTGCTGCCTTGGTTGGGCACAGCCAGAGGTATGAAGATAGATCGTCTCTAATTACCAAGATGTACTTAAGGTCGTCTATGCCGGGCCCCATATAGAGGTAGTCGAAGTGTATAACTTCGTTAGGCTTCGATCCATGGAGCGTCATTGATAGCGGTCTAGGTATCTTCAGTCCTCCTTTGGCAGTGAGACAGTGGATGCAGCACTTGGTAAACTCCTTGCAATCTTGAGCCATATCACGCCAGTGAAATGTCTCCTTCAGTGCACTCAATGTTGCCTCAGCTCCACGGTGACCTGCTGCTCCACAGTGCGCTACAACCAGCAGTTTCATCTGCAATTCCAATGCATCGTCCGGAATCCAATTCTTCCCTTTCAGCTGGATTATTCCATCTTCTTCAGTATATGAATCCTTGGGCTTCTCACTTATCGTATCCTCTTGAGCCTTGGAGATCATATCCGCATTTGGCCACTCAAAGTCCACGGCCTGCGGTGAGCCAACCATGTCCTGCGCCATGAGTGCATGGGTTATGCGCTTGATGGAGTGTTGCTTCGCTCTATAACCAGCAAACCATCTTGTCATTATGTCTGCCATGACATTCCGTTCTCCTGCTATGTGCTCTATTGTATACGTGAACCTAGACAGGTATAGAGCCCAACGTTGTACCTTGTTCAGGATGTGGCGTCCGAGTGCTGGCTCAATTGCGGTAGGATTGTACACAAATAGCAAGTTACGGTGATCAGAGAATATGTGGATGTCGTTCTCTGCGGCAAACATGTAGTCCAGCTTATCAAATGCCTGGAAGATTGCGTACGCTTCTTTCTCGAAAGTACTCCAATGCGTCTGAGTACTGTTGAATATAGCGCTTAGGAAGGCAAGTGGCTCATGTCGCTGCTCCTCGACATTCTTGTCTAGCTCTTTGACTCGGCATTGTGTAACAACAGCGGCCCAATGAGTGTCACTAGCGTCCGTGTATACACAGAGCGTTTTCTCGGGGTCGCGATGTGAGAGCTTTACGGCGTTGCGGAGCTGTTCTTGTAGTTCGAGGTATGCATCAGCATGAACAGGGCCCCAGGACAGCTGAGCAAGACGTATGCTGTGAATAGACTTGGTAGTCCGTTTGCCTGACCGACTGTACGCTTCCTCTAGCATAGCTCGTAGTGGAGCAATGCGATTTGCAAAGTCTGGAATAGAGCCTGACATCCATTGTAGACAGTAGACGAACTGTGATAACTCTGCTGCTGTGACTGGCATGTGTGTATTCATTAGACCACTCAGTCTGCGGGGATCGCATGTGACACCGTCCTTGTCAATGATCCTTCCGCACCATCGAATTACTTTGGAGAATAGAACGCTCTTCTTTGCTGAGATCTTAAGCCGGCGCTTAACACAAACCTCGAAAAAGGTTTCGAGTGAGTTAAGGAGTTCCTTCTCTGTCTTAGCATGGAGTATGAAATCATCTAGCCAGGCCTTGAGCGAGTTCCGAAGTTCGGCAAAGCATGGTTCGACACGTGACTGGAAGTTTGCCATGCAGTTATTCCCACCTTGGAGAGTTCTAGTTAGTTTAAAAATGCCAGTCGGTGTCAAGAAGCTGTGGTACTGCTGGCTCTTCTCGTCTAACGGCAACTGCCAATATCCGCTGCAGAAGTCAATGCAAGCAAAACACGTGCTACCTGCAAGGTCGAGGAGTTCCGACTCGATGTGCGGCATAGGCCACGCCACAGGTATTGTAGCTGCATTTACACGGCGCAGATCAAAAGTGAGCCTGAATTTGGCTGGTGGTGGCTTGGGAACAAGGAGCGGTGCTGCTGCCCAGCTGGCGTCTCTATTAGGTCTGATAAATCCATGATCAGCCAGCTTACCCACGTAGCTAGACATGAACTCTCTCTGTTCAGCCGTGTAACGACGTGCTTTGGCAATGTGCGGAGTATATCCCGGCTTCACTGAAATTTTCATGGGTTCAACATCGGCAGGTGGGTCTGGACCTAAACGAAGTCGAAAGACGTCGCGATTCTTTTGAAGCATACCTCGCAGGCGTATCTGTCCTTCAGAACTTAGGCCATTCTTTCTTGCTTGCTTCAATATCGTGTTGAATGCCTCTTGGATCTCCTGTTCGGTGTCTTCCCCGAGGTCCAGCCAATGGTCCTCTGCGGAATCTGCCTCTGCGTCATCCTCAGTAGCCGCGTTTGAGTGGTAAATTCCTGACGAGAGGATGCGTGCTACTGAGCCATCACTGTAGTCTTCGGAAGGAAGAAGAGTATCGACATCCACAGAACCTTCGAACTTGTCACAGGCGGCCTCCAGCAATATCTTTGTGTTTAAGCCTAGTGCCTCTAGAATAGGCCTTCCTAGAAGGGGTTCGTTCACTTCGTGTGTAGCGACATACCACGAAAGCTTTCGTAACTTGAGGGCCTTGCCATGACGGATTTGAAGCTCTGTTGTTACGATGGCCTCTCTATCACAAACGACATATAGTGGCTCCTTTTCTTCGGACTTGGCAGCTGCGAGCCCAAACTTGCGCTTGGCTTTAAACGGTTTAACGACAATGTCAGCACGTTTCTCGATGAGGGCTGCCAACAGGTCTGGTGGCATCAGGTTGATGTCAGACCCATTGTCTGCGCACAAACTTCTTGTCTCAACCCCCGCAAAAGTGGCGTTCAAGATCGTACTATTAGTCTCAGAGACACTCGTCTTACTGCAACTGACTTTTTTGAAACTCTTGCGCTTTTCAATGTACGCCTTTAGTAGACGGTCTTTCTCGGCTTGTGTTGCCTTGTCACAGTCTTTGATGTAGTGCCTTACACCTTTTTCGGCACAAGCTGGGTTCAGGCACACAGGCTTAGTGCGCCCGGAAGACGTGCTCTTAGTTGAAGATGTCCTCCCCTTGTTGGTGTCACCTCCTTTCTGATCCCTGGTCTTGTTTTGGTTCCGGTTACTTGTCCGACTCTTAACCTTGTCTTGAATGGTGGCTTCCTTGCACAATAGGCGGACGTACGGCTTTAACTTCTTCTTGAGTCCTTGTTGGTACTCTAAGTGCTCCGCCATCGCAGCCTTAAGATGCGGCGGATAGAGATGTTCCTGTAGCAACTTGATTGTCTTCTCTGGATTTGACTCTTTGAAATCCTTGTAGCCCACTCCTTCAAGCCGCGCAAACACGTCGTTGACGAATTCCAGCACGCGCGCTTCCGGATCAGCGATTGTCATAGGCATACGGACTCCCCGCAATGCATCCTGGACAACAGTTGGGTTGATATCTGCCCCGTCTTGATGAGATATGATACCTCGGATGAACTGTTCGATGTGCTCTGACGTGAGCTCACCAACGTCTTTGTCCGGTGCAATGTCGTCGAACTTACCAATGAAGTGCATACTCTCAAGTAGAGTACGATCGATCGACACCTTGTACGATGCTACTTGCATAGACGGGACTTCCTTCTGTTTCTCCAGTACTTCGTCTGCATATCTCTGACGTTCTTTGAGAAACTTAACAACCTTTTGCGGATCGACACTGCGAAGTATCGGGTGCGATACAGGTTGAAAAACAGCACTATGTGTCGTCGAGTCCAGAGAGCTTTGGCCCCCGTCGTGTCCACTTGCCATCGTCTCGTTGTCGGGCAGACGTCCTGCCG